CTTAGTTTGGCTCTAAGATAACCAAAAGTAAGATGTGCCAAAGGTTTTGTAAAAATATCCACTAATTGTTGATTAGATGTAACAAAGCGAACAACTTTTACGAAAATGTTGATGATCGAGTTCAGTGTATTTGGTCCGAATCAAAACATTTTCTATAATTATATATTATTATTTATGAGGAGATATTCTTAAAATTCTTTGATATAGAGTCGTTTGAATGGAGGCACAAGACAATCAGAAAATGGTTATAGCAGGTGTGAAATTCAAGGAAGCCTTTACTACCTATATTGTAATTGTGATGCTTTGACTCTACATTAGAACTTTAAATTGGGCTATACCGCCCGTGGGCCGACACGGCCCTCGTAGCACACGGGCTGTGTTGGGTATGTATGACACGAAGGTATGGGCTATGCCAGGTTTGAGTTTTTAGGCCCATGGCTAGAATAGAATAGCATTAGTTCAGCATAGTTCATATATATTTAATTTTAATATTATATATAATATATATTTTTTTATTTTCAATTTTATTATACTATTTTATTTTAATTATATTTAATTTTTTAATTTCATTTTATTATTGCATATATAAATAGTATATATCAAAATTCATATAAAATAAAATTTTAAGATATTTTCCAATTTTTTGTCTATTATGTTAATTTATATTAAAATTTTCACTATTTTTTTTTCATTTTTTCTTTTAAATATACCTCTCATGGCTTGGCCTGGCCTGACCTATAACACAACACACACAACATGGGACCATGCCGGGCCGGACCTCTGAAGCTTCAGGCTGGCATTGACCCGATTTACACCTCTCTCCATAGAGCTCATCCCACACATGACCCACAGCACATCTCAGTATGCATTGGAAACATCTTTCATAATTGTCATGGGTATATGCATGGGTGTTGTGGGGCACATGTGGGGCGTGCTCTATGGAGAGCCAATGCCAATTCAATGAAACATAAAGCAAGTTAAATAACTCTTCAAGAGTCGTCTTGTGCCTTTCCAATTTTAATGAGTTATCATGATGATAGGGTTCAGAAGGAAATCAACCTCAATTACGAACAAATCTGTATATGATCAAGAGATGTTGCACATCTTGCACCAAAGCATGAAGGGTTCGTTTGGTTCATGGGAATAGAAGTCTGGAATCAGTTTGGTTGGGCAGAATTAGAATCTGGTTTTTATTCCTAGTGGAATGACATTCCTCCATTTGAGGGAATGGCCATTCTATCCCGCCCCCCCCCCCCCCCCCCCCCCCAATTGGGAATGAGAATCCCATTCTAACCAATTCCAATTTGAATTTTAGTTTCTATTTGAACCAAACAGGTAAAGGAAATAAGCCATTCAAATTCAATTCCAAGGAATTTTGATTCCAATTCTGAATTCCATGCAAACAAAATGGACCATAAGATTGTTGTTCCGAGACTACATACATTCTATCAAAGGTTTCATACTTAAACAGCAGTTTAAGGAGTTGTTCAGGTTCAATTTGGAAAGAGTACAAATACATACAAAATAATACAAAATATGAGGTTTTAAACTTTACATATTTGTATTTATACTCCTTCAAAACTAAGTATTATGCTCAGTTTGGAAAAAGTACAAATGCAAATATGTACAGTGCAAATACATACAAAATAACAAAATTTAAAGTTTTACACTCTATATATTTATATTTGTACTCCTTCAAAACTGAGCCTTAAGAACGAAAGGGTTACAGCAGAATATGAATCTACTAGAAGAGAGAGGTCATCTGAACTAACCGAAAAGTGAAGCACAAGCACCCCTCACGAAAGTCATTCATGGTGCATTGGTTTCATTTTAAGCAATGTGCTGAATTTAAAAGGTTGTTTTTTTGAAAATAAATACATCGAGATATTTCATATTTGTACTTTAAGGGCCTGTTCGTTATTTGGGTTTTGAGAGGGGAAAAATTGGTAATGGATTTTGGTTCCCATTGGCCAAGATATCTATATTCTTTTTTTCAGATTTATGTGAGGTCAATGGAATTACTAGCATTTGTGTGAGACAAAATTACCCCCTTTAATAGTCACTACAAAAAGACGTCTTTTGCTGACGTTTTATTCTAAAATGTAACCAATTTACGACATTATGAATAAATGTCACAGGAAGTCAAACTTTGGCATAAATGTGTATATATATATATATATTGCAACATTTATTTTATGTTTTTTACGACGTTTAAATAAACGTCATAAAAAATCCCTTCCTGCCATTCCCCGGTTTCCGCACCAAAAAATGTTTCCCGACATTTATGCTAAATGTTGTTGAAATCACTTTTTGACAACGTTTAATTTAATTTTTAATGACGTTTATGTGAAACATCGTCATATATTTCTCCCGCAAACACACATTATGTTGAGAACGCATTCTTTTGACGACGTTAGACATAAACGTCTTAAAAATGAGAGAGAAACATCACCAAAACTTCTCTTTTATTTATTGGTTTTAAATTTTAAGTTTTTATCAATTATTTTTAGAACTAATTAATTATAAAGTTAACTTATAATTAAGTTAAAAATAATTATAAAAATATATTTTATTGTGATAATTTTATTTTTATTTTACAATCGTAATTAATATGTTTTTATTAATTTATTCATTAATTTTATCCATGTTATAATTTATTATAATTAGAATATTTGTACACTAATTTTATTTGTTTAACTAATAAATAAGGTTAAAGTTGGATGCCTACGGTTGTCAATGGGTCAGGTTGGATCCGATGGACCCAAACTAATTGGGTCAGTTATGATTCCAGGATCTAGAATTGATGGGTCAGTTTCAGTTCTCGACATAATGTCCCAATTCTTATTGGTTCGTGATATAGGTCAAACTTGACCCGAGCTATTAGGGTGTTCATTGTTTGGTTCAAACCACAAATCCGAACCAAATCAAACTGAATTTGCGGTTTGGTTTGGTCTGCACTTGAAAATAGTTTGGTTTGGTTTCATATTTTTCTAAATTGCGATTTGCGATTTCGGTTTGGTTTTTTAGATTTTGTAAACCAAACTAAACCGTAAACCTCAACCTGAACATACATACATACATATATAATATAATATATCTAAATCAAATGTATAAAATTTTAAATATATAATAAAATATTTTATTAATTTCTAGGGGTGCTATTTGGGCGTTCTAATTGGGTTAAACCCAATAGAATAAAAGAATGGTCTAAAGTTTCCAAACTGTATTGGAAATTGCTAGGGGTGCTCATGATTCAGTTTCCAAACCGTGGGCCTTTTTTTTTTCAAACCAACCAGTTGTACCAATTTTTGGAAAACCAATAACCGAAATCAAATCGAAGTCAATTGATTAACCAGTCGATCGGTTTGGTTAACTATTGATTTAGTTAATCAGCTTTTTCGATTTTTCAATTTTCATACTATTATGTAGATTAAATAATATATTATAAATAATAAATAATATATATAATATACATAAATATATATATAAATATATGTATACTGGTCAATTTGGTTAACCGCTAGTTTTTTTTTTTTTATTGGTTAACTGAAACTGAACCGCTACCTTTGGTTTTTCCAAAATATTGAAATGATAGGTTTGGTTAATCAAAATTTTTCGTTCAATTTCATCAATTCGGTTTGACTTTTGTGCTCACCCTAGAAACCACACCAAATCGAACCTGATCCAGACTCGACCCGTTGACAACCCTATGGACGCCTACCTTACTTAGGCCCAAACCCGAAAACCAACGCCTACCTTGCTTTAAAATTAGTAACCTTGCCACTTACCCACCACATTTAAGTATATATGATATAATTTGTAAAGTATATTATATAACCTATAGTATATAAATATATGTCCTATCATCATGGTTTGACCTTGAATTGAAACTCTTATCCATGAACCTTTCCCTTTTCCAATTCTGCATGGTCTAGTTTACTAAACATTGGTAATAATAATATATCAATATATACAAGTAGAATAATCTTATTAGAGGATGTATCACTACTAAACAGAGTGATCAACACAAACTATCACAATCCAAACCATTGTATTACATTGTTGGACCAACCAAGCTAGGCTTATGGTGATTGTTCTAACCATTAAATTGACCTTTTTAGTCCACATACCTTCCCAACCCCCCAAGCAACAAATTTAGGAGGTTACTTTATATATACTTTCTCTTGAAGATCACCATGGAGGAAAGTATTCTTTATATATCAAACTAGAATAAAGGCCAATCATAATGGGTAGCCAAGGAGGTGACACGTATAAAGCCCATCTTATTAGCAATAAGGGAAAATGTATTAGTTAGCCAACTCCATATGTCTAAGTGTTCTCTTTTACTTCAATTCATAACTTGTACTTTTCCACACTTCCATCCAAGTGATTCTTAACTTTGTAAACCCATCAACAATCAATAGCTTTCTTCCCAAGAGGGAGAGGAGTAAGATTCCGTGTATGATTAGAATAAAGAACATGAAATTTCTCATCCATTGTTTGCTTACAATTTGGGGAGACACGGGTTTCCTAAATAGAGCTAGGAATAGAAATTAGACAAGAGATACAAACTGAACCTATGATAAGAAGCAAATAAATGAGTAGATGAGATGAAATAGGATGGTGAGTACAAGAACATTTATCCTTTTAAAGTGCTAGGTAAATTTAAATCAGATGGATTTGATGATGGTGCAACCGATGGTGAGTACAAGAACATTTGTGAACACTATTAGAGAAACATCTATAATAGGAATAGAAAGACAAAGTGGATGAGGATGAGATTCAATTAAGCAAATGTCTATTCTTCCATTCAACCACACCATTTTGTTGTGTCGCGTGGGAACAAGAAGAATGGCAAATTATATTACTAGATTTAAAAAATAATTGAAAGGGTCTTTGAAAATATTCTATTGCATTTTCAAAATGAAACATTTTTATGGGAGCTCCAAATTGATTTTAACTTTAGCATAAAAAGAGAAAGAATATCAAACAAATTTGAATAGATTTTCATTAAATAAATCCATAACATTCTGGAGTAACCATAACCATCAATAGATGTAACAAAAATATTTAAAACTATTTATGACTCAATACAATTTGGACCACAAACATTAGAGTGGACAATAACAAAAGGACCTGTCACTCTTTTATTTTCTCTTGAAACAAAAGACACTCGACTGTGCTTACCAAGTTGACACGATTAACATTGTAACTCGGTAATGCTAAACTAAGAACTAATTTCTTGGAAGTAGGAGAAAAAGACAAATGACCCAATTGACGATGCCACTGCAGAGGAGAAAGTGGCATACAGAGTGCTTTCTATTTCTACAAATCACCACCATTCAAATAAAACAATCCTTCGGCCTAATACTTGCCACGTACCAATCATCTTTTCCATCTTTAAGATCCTAAAACACACAATAATAAGGGAAGAATGAGATAGAGCAAGTAAGAGTTTTAATAAATTTTTTTAACAGATAAGAGACTAAAAAGAAATTTAGGTACATATAACACTAAAGGTAAAAATAGAATAGAATTAAGGGAAACTTCACTTGTACCAAAGATAGGAGGAGTAATACCATCAACTAAAACAATAGTTTGAGAAGTAAAGGGCGGGGATAAAGAAACAAAATGATATAGACTCCATTATATGATTCGAGGCTCCAAAATATATAACCCAAGATTTAGAAGAAAATGATAAATAAATTATACTTGATTTTACAAGGATAGAAGTGTTATTGGAAGTAGAAGAGGATAGATGAAGTTCATCAAACTCCTCACTAGCCACTCAACACGCTAGACGGTCTCAACAACATTTACAGGCTTTAATTAATTCATAAAACCATAAATTTCAAGCTTAATGTCAATGAGAAAAACCAACAATTCAAGGAACTAACCTATACCATCTAGAAACAACCACTCTTAGAATCACCATCAAATAGAGGGATTCTAAAAGAACTAGGAATGGCAACGGAACAGGGTGGAGTCAGGTTTTACATATCCCATCCCCAACCTTGAACATCTGTACCCCACCCCATACACTGGTGGGGCTGGAAATCCCAGCCCCATCCCTATCCTCGCGGAGAATAGGGATCCCTGAATTTGCCCCTCCCTACTATGACCATTGCTAGCTTAGCCATGGTATATCATTCACATTGTGGAATAGATTTCTCCTTATCCTGCTTTCATTCAGATTTTGGGTTGGACTTAAACTAGTTATTTCTCAATTTGAATTCAGAAAAATAGATGACATTTGCAATACCAATATCCTAATAACATTAATTTAAAGCCATTAAAATTTAGAAATAATTACACTACATCAATAAAAATTTAAAATTAATTGATAAAAAATTAAAATTCATAGACAAATAATTTGCATAAAAATATTGTTTGGATTGGACTTTAACTTGTTCAAACCAATTTAGTCTTAATTTGAAATTGGAAAAATAGATACCGTTTGCTTTTCGTAGTCTTAAAAATCCTAATTTCAGTATTTTAGATCCATTAAATTAGAAGTAATTACACTAATGGAATTTTAAAATTAACTAATAAAAATTTAAATTTCATAGACAAGTAACTCACTCCATTAAATTAGAAGTCTTAATTAAAATTACACTAAAAGTGTAATGGATTGAAACCTTTTTTAAAGGTTGTGGTCACAAAGGATAGAAACTTGTGACCAAGTATTTTTCTTCTGTAAATTCATCATCCCCAATTAGAACAGTCTTGGGTTTCCTTGAAACCTGCCCCAGACATGGTCAATGGTCAAAAACCCCACCCTGATTGGGGCAAGACAATGCAGGACCCGAATGGGGGTAGGTCAGATTACCATCTCTAAATAGAATACCAACTAGGGATGGCAATTTTTCCTATAAAACAGGGCCCCACCCCAAATAGGGCGGGTTTTCCCCAATCTTAAACGGGGATGGAGAAAATATTTTTACCCCAAACTAGGGTTGGGGCACGGGATGAGGTTTTGCATATAATTCCCCAAATCCACTCCCATCTTGATGGTAAATTAATAAAACATTCCTAGATTTAATAATGATTTTTAATATATCTCTAAGTTTTTCCAAAAATATTAAAATCCTAGGATCCCACAATTCCATTTCTAAAATACCCCTAAATTGTCATAATTCAATTCCTAGAATGCCCCCCAAATTCCCATAATCTTATTTGTAAAATATCCACCAATTATATTATTTTTAGGTGGTTACCTTGGGGCAGGGAAAATTCGGGAATACCCCCCCCTAAACCCACCCTACCACTAGGAATGGGGCAGGGACGGGGCAAAGCATCATGACTACAGCCTACAGGGTGGGGACAAGGAGGGGGTGTTTGCCTCGAACCCGCCCCGTTGCCATTCCTAATACCAACCACTCAAAAAACACTACAAATGAAGGCATGGGAGCCTCCCCTTCAAAGGACAGTAATCATTTTATGTCCTTTTTGCTTCCTTTGAAGTATTGAAGTCCGGATCTGTTCCTCTTAGAACGCTCCTCATACTGACCTTATAATATGTATCATCCGCACATCAGGAACACCTCTTGTACTTGTATATTATTATTCATTGAAGATGTTCCCAATACATGGTGGGATGTGGTTCTGAGATTGATGTGAGGAGCAGATCCCAATAGGAAGTATTGAAAGGATTCTTTATATAGATAGAACTGTACAGCATGTAGGACTGATCAGGTCTGTCAATGATGTTATGATTCCATGTGAATAGACTTGAAACCAGCCTTAGATAATAGGAAAAATAAGTGTTTAGAGAGCGATTGTAGAACAGAAGAAGACGATGATAAAGAAAAAGAAAGGAAGAGATATTAGAGAGAAAACTGGGGCTGAATAGCAAAGAAATGGAACTATCATTGATCTCAACTGCTGCCCTATTTATTTATTATTATAATGAGAAGTACAAAGACAAAATTACCCCTTTTTAGTAATAAAAGAGAAGAATTACATTTGTATTCCAATTACATTAATCTATATCTATACTACTATAAAAAGTGTGAATATCACCATAGTTTCTGAAACTTTTTAGAATAAAATAACCCTCCTTTAAATTTGTTCAGTCTATATTATGAGTGCAGAAATTATAATTTGGATATTACATTTTAGTGCATTTCATTCCCTCATAATTCCCATGTCAAGGCATTAACTCTCACTCTTTATCACTGAATCCTATGCTTAAGGTATTTTTATCTACCGTCATTATATTTCATTAATTAAATCCATGAACACTGATATTAATAGTATAAAACTTATATTTTTAAAATTAATTAAAAACTAAACTGATTTTTCTAAGTGGCAAGTAAGTAGTTCTACCATGTGGGTCAAATACGTGAATCCACGATGCCATAATAAATACTAAAGTTTTTAAAAACAGATAAAAATACATAAATAGAAAAATTAGAAAATTTAAGCATATTTATAATATTATATATTTTTCATATTAAAGAAAAATAGGTGTGATAAATAAAAAGTATTTTTATTAATGATGAAAATGATATCAAAATTTAAAACTAATCCATAAATAAAACCATTTTTCCTCCATAGGTGGGGTATCAATGGTTCACCTATTCAGACCATTAGATCAAATATTTTATAAAATTAAAAATAGAAAAATTACATAAAATATAAAATTTTAGACACATCTCTAATGTTATGTAGTCATCATATTAAAGAAAACGAGTGCAACAAATAAGAATTATTTTTATTGATATTGGAAATGGAATGCAAAATTTTAAATTGTCTCAAAAAGGAAAATGTTTTTTATTCGGGGAATGGTTCAAGAATTCAACAGTCCTGGTTAAGCCATGATGTCACAATTAAATAAAAAATGAAAAATAAATAGAAAGACTAAAAACTATAAAAATATAACATATTATAGAAAAAATTAAAAAAAAATCTAGACACATCACAATTATTATTGTTATTACATTTATTATTATTTAAAATTGTCAAACAACACACATGCATATTTACTATTGTAAAGAATAAGAATAAATATAATTCTAACAGGTCTAAGGCCTGTTTACCCTTTGAGATAGGTCAAGCCCCAAAAATAACAGCTTTAGCATATCGGTCACCTATCATACTTATCGGCTAATACGGACTATACATTACAAAATTTTGATCCTTTTTAATAAATTAACTTTCTATTACTCCACGTGTTTGCTATAACCTTGAAGAACCATTCACACCCAATTTATAATATTTTATTAGTATTTATTAACAATACGACAATAACAAAAGGATAAGAAAAAAGTTAGTCAAAGAACAAGTAAGTGAGACACAAATAAAGATTAAATTAATAAGTAAAACCTGGAACCCTGAAAGGCTTTAAAGTAAGAATTGATTAAAAATTAATAAGAATGTACTCTCAGCAGATGCCAACAGAAAACCTTTATAGATGAAGACCTCAAGAATCTACAACCACCTAAACCAAACAAAAAGTACACTATTTACTTTATAAGCTTTACAAACCACCGCAAAGACAAACAACATTCCCAAATAAAACAAAAGAAAAATATATTTATAGAAACGAGTCATCAAAAGATTGAAATCTTATCACCAATTAGGAAATTTATTAGATATCTCTGGTAAAAAGTTGACCCAACCCAACCTTAAAAAACAGGGTTAGGATCTCATATTTAGCTACTTGAATTTGAGAATGACCCGATCTAATTGGGTTGGGTCATGAGTTAATCTGCGGACCCGATTATCAGGTCTAATTATGACTATTTATGTATTGCTAGAAGTTTTCACTCTTTAATTTTTACTATTTAGTCTTTACTCTTTATTGTTTACTTTTTGAATTGTTAAATGTTCAAGTTTTTTTATTTTATATTTGAAATTTTAAGGTTAATTCTTTTAATTTTTGGCATTTTTCATGTATTCTTTTTATTTTTTAAATTTCAGTTATTTTTTGAAAAGACTCGAATTGACCCATGGGAGAACCCTAACCTGAACATTTAGGTTAAGGGCCTAGCATTTGACAACCCAACCCAATTGCCAGGTCTAATCTCATCATTGATCATCACCACAGGCTGTTAGGCCTGTTCATGGGCCTGGCCCAGGCTTTGCCTTTGTAGTTTGTATTAATAGAATACATTCAAATCTAAGTCTGAATCTGACCCGATTATCAAGCCTAGATTTGAGTTTGAACACAACCTTCATATAAAACCTGAAGCCTGGCCTAGAAATTGGATAAAAAGGTCTTTTTATTTAATAAAAAATTTGAATTATTTATTTATATTAAATGATTTCAAAGCCCAACAACATTGAAACATCTCATCAGGGTTTGAGAAAAGAGAAAGAGTTAAGAAGGCTGAGCTCCACATGACTTTTATGAGAAAGCACACACCTGTTCGAAAAAAATCGGGCCCAGTGTTTTGAGTCCGAACCCAAACCCAAAACCTTGGGTTTAAAATCACATCCAAGCCCAATAGAAAAAATGGGTTAAGCTGAGATAAGCCAGTCTATTGAGCTATGTTTCATGAACGGTTCTAATCTTAATCATGAGCACACTACATTAACAATCTAAAATTTATAGCATCGAGTTTGGATCTTTTAACCACAACACATTGCTGTTCACATTCATCTGCATGGAAACATCTGTTGTGCTTTATATAGCCGATATGGCGATATTCGTAATGAACGGATAGATAAACGTGGCCAGCAATATGTTGTGAATTTGTGATCAATATATTGAATCACAAATTCAAACTTCAAAGGATTTAAAAAAAAAAAAAAAACAACTTTGGGAACTGTTCGGGGTGGATGGTGTACCAGTTACTAAGAGGAGCGCTGACCCTTACACGTCAAACTTTCCTCGAAACTCTTCGATGGGTACGTGGCCGACCCTATTCCAGCCTCAAGAATCAAATTCTCACCGCTTGAGATAATTCCGGTGATAGACCACCACGTGAAGAAAGCCCTAACTCGTATCCCGTCAAGGTTGGCGATTCTTCTGTGGATAAGTTTCCCCGTTATCTTCTTCGAGTATGCAGTTTCATAATTGTCCGGAGGGATCAAAACCTTACACGAATCGCCGAGATTTACAGAGAAATCACCGGAGGTCCGGTTGAGGGTGTAAGCTACGACGTTTGTTGGGAGCAACCCAGTTGGGAAACCGTTCTTCCTGAGCTCCTCGTGTACAGAAGATGACACGGAGTTGGGGTTTTCAGAGGCATTTGCAGAAGAAAGGAGGAAAAATAAGACAAGAGAGAAGATGAAGATGGAGTCTCTTGCCATCTTTCAAGTTTTGATCTGTTTTGGACTTCTTTTGACTGAAAATGTGATCTTATTTATAGAGTAGGATTAGCTGTGAACGTGATGACTGGACTGTGAAGTTGGCGTAACCTATGACAATGCTCCACATCAGTCATAATTGCTGAGTGAGAGTGAGTGGTTGTGGCCATATGCATTTAATGACTTCCGTGAGGCGCTATCATTGGTTCCCTATCCCACCACACAGCTAAATCCAATCTTGATTTTAAACATGTTTGTTTGTTTGTTTGAGAGTCCGGATCTGCTCCTCACATAAGCATTCCTGGTGGCAATTTTTCCCGACGGGTACCCGGGTGCCCCGACCCGACGGGGACAGGGATGACGGGTACTTTGGTGGGGTCGGGGTTGGGGACGGGGATGGGGAATGCAATCCCTACCCCAACCCGACCCTGATTAATAAATATAGAATTATATATAATATAATATATAATATCATTTATTATTTATATATTATTTTTTATTCATTTATTTTTAAAGATTAAAACTTAAAAAACACAAACTCGACAGTCGACAAACAGAGAACTTTGAAGTGAATTGTGAACCCTAGTCTTCTTCCTTCGTTTTCGTCACCGATTCACCGACTGCTGTCGTTGTTGCCACTTGCTCGTTAGACATCGGACGTCTTTCGCCACTGTAGTTCTTCTTTTGGGTACGACAACATGGAGTTGAAGAAGGAGAAGCTCGTGAGGTAATTAGGGTTTCTGCTTTCTTCTCTTTCTTAATTTCATGTGAGGTCGGTGTGAGAGCACTCTGTGAGGAACATATCCCAATTCTTTGCTTAATGATTATAAATTATAGATTTTTTTAACACATGGAATTATGGTCTAATCCCATTGTTAGGGAAACTTTGGCTGCCCAACATAGGGAAGGAATTCTTGCCCGTAGTCTCACAACACACTACCCCGTGAATTAGGAACATCTCTTCCTATATAATACTATTTAGGAGGATGAGATATTCTCCATGTGTGACCGTGATGTTATGTGAATAAATATGAATAAAATTCTCATAAACAAAAAATCCCGAATTGGTGCAAGTTACCTGCTAACAAAACAAGTGCCAACACCCTACCAACTTGATTTTTGCACCGTACATCTCGTTATAAAACTGGGCCCATCATGTAAATAGGACCGGTCATGTATAAGTTGTACAGTGTCAGATATTGTTGAGGGGGGTGTTGGAACTTGTTATGTTGACAGAACTGCTGTGAGAGAACCAACGCATTTAAATCCGATCTGACAGAGCACATCCAACGCACCTAATTGGACCAATTCAGCAAAATCTAATTCTGAACTGATTATCGAACATTTAAATCCGATCTAAAAATCCATTTGGATTTGAAGGCTTCATTATAAATTTTGTATAAATTACAACTCCCTTTTATTGATATAATTCACTTTAAAATAACTCAGTCATATAGAACAAATCCCATTCAATATCATTTGCAATTTAAATTGCAATTGTGAACAAATTCTATTCAATATCATTTGTAATATAAATTGCAATTGTGTTTTCCCATTTCTTATATTTGAACCATCTTATTAATGTTTTTTCTCTAATTTTGATAGAGTCAATGTGTAATGGTTGGTTATTTGTACTCTCCTAGAATTTCATCCACTTCACAGCCTTAAAGATGCTATTTGAATTTGTCGTTTTAAGGGAGAAATTCTTAGGATCGGGTATTTATAACGAAAAATGATCCTCATAAAATCATTATCGGCATACTTAAAAATTACGGGCTACCTAGCGTTTGTTTGGCATCGTTGCCGTTCCTCCATAAAACGCATGTCAGAAAAACGGTGCTCCAGGAAATGAGTGTTTATTTAAAACCGTTTTTTCCATAAAAAACAGTGCTCCAAGCCACGCCTTGAAAATCGGGAAGGCATGGCTTGGAGCAACACCAAAGTTGACGTTTCTTGGAGCTGCAGCTTGTTGCTGCCAACAAGGATGTGAGATGACAGTGATGTCGCACTGGATAATAGGTACCAGTGCTAAAAAAGTTTCCCGAAGCATTAGTACCAAAACATAAAAAGTTGATGTTGCTCCAGGAAATGTCCTACCTAGCAGTAATGATTCCAAAAAAAAAAAAACATTGTTTTCTCAAAAAACGGTACATCCAACCCACACATCAACAACACTACAACATCGATGAAAAATTAAGGGTGGATTCGAGCCAAGTCAAGCTGAATATTTGGCTATTCGAGCTTGGCTCACTGAAATTGTGTTAGGCTCAAATTCGATTCGAATTAGAGACTTGAGCCGGAGCTTAGCTCGATTCAAAGCTCACAAGTTCGAGCTTGATTGCAAGTCTACAAGCCAAGTTTTTTTTTCTAAAAATTAAAAATTATATATATAAATATTTTTTATTTTACATACAAAAAAGTAAGAATTATAAAAATTATTTACTATTATACAAAAAAATATATTATATATATAATTAAAATTATTATATATATATATTTATATGTATACGTATGTATGTATGTATGTATATATGTATTAGACCTGTTCATGGGCCGGGGTTCGGGCCTGACTTTATACTATGTTTGGCTCGGGCTTCGGGCCGGGCCCATTGAAATTTTGGCAAAAGCCAAGCCCGAGCCCGACCCATGAATAGGTCTAGTATATATATATATGTATAAAATAAAAATTATTTATTTATTATACTAGGCTCACGAGCTTCACGAGTCGAGTTTCATTAGGATCGAGCTCGGCTCGATTAACAAATGAGTGTATATATTAGTCTCGGGCTCAATTTGAAGCTCGTTTTAAATTGAACCGAGCTCAAATAACTCATGAAAAACTCGAGTCGTGGCCACCCCTAATGAAAAGAGATAACCCATAAAAGACGACTTGAGTTTTCCTTTCGTAAAAGAAAAAAAGCATTTTTAATTAAAAAGAAATAAAAAAAAAACCCTTTGACGTCCCCTTAATTCTATCTGTTAGGTGAGTTCTCATGGCAGAAAGTTGTGCACTCTGCCCGGCAGGAAGTGTGCAGTCAAAGTTTTCCACCACTACCCACGGAGTTCAAAACTGCTGCCAATATTGTCCCCGTGGCATGTAACCAACATGCAGCTACAGTGGCCCGTTGGGAGCATTGAGTTGGTGGCATTGTCTCTACCCATGGAAACATCTCCCGTGAAAGATAGGGGAGATGTTTCCAATGTGTAATGGGACAGTGTTGGAAACGTTGTATTGATCCAATTGAAATTTTGAAAACGCTAGACATAACTGGATCTTGTGATCATAATTCATAACTGTCTAAAATGTAATCTTTTTTTTTTTATCGTAGTTTGTATTGAGATCAGCTTCGGTAAGTGCAAACTCCGTTCGAACAGCCTTTACAACTTTGCGTTGAATACATCTCCGTTCTTTTGTATTTTATTTCATGTGGAGATATTCCTAATAAAAGGATATAAAAACTGTTCAAATGGAGCCTGCACTAACTGAATCCGGTTTCATTTGTATTGAACATTGATGCTGATCTTGTGGTTGACATATAGGAATATAGGAATATTGGATATAATCCCAACACACGGTTCCAACAAACCAGTGCAGCTGTGCATTAGGCACATCTCAGTGAAAGACAAAGGAGATAGTCTCTAGTCTCTACTACAACTTGTTAGGAGCAGATCCGAAGTCTCATCATGTTCAGCCCATAATTAATAATCATATATGGATTGCATGGAATAGGAATACGACGGAGCCCTACGCCAGTATATATCACGGTGGAGGCTGGAGGCTTCTAATTGTAATAATGGAAATTATTAAATAAACAACCCAATGTTTAGAGTCATTTTAAGTAGAACTGTCACTAATTATTTATTTTTTTGGTACAAGCACTAGGCCCCGTTTGATTTCAATTTCTTAACTCTTAATGCCGAAGAGCATAAGAGCAACCGTAATTACAAGCTAGTACCATAATTACTATTTTTTGTTTTTCAATCTTGAGGGCTCCACATATAATAATTGATAATAAATTATTATTATTTTTATTATGGTCATTATTAGAGCACCCCTATAATTATATGGATGTACTTAAACCAATCTTATAGTTTTTCTTTTACTAAAATACCCCTTATAGTTTGTAACCTATTTACTTCATTGACATTTCATTAAGAAATGTTTGTTTTGCCATATGAAAATAGTAACATGACTATCTATACTGAGTGGAAAATGTTCACAGACATAATTGGAATTACTTTTAATAAGTTTTATTAATTATTTAATACTAATATCTAAATATGTATTTTTTGAATCTTAATAAATTTTTCTTTTAAATATTTAATACTAATTATTGAATTATTTTCTAATAATAGTAATACTAATTATTATTATTTAATTACCTATAGAATTATTTTATTATTTTATTACTAATTATTTTCTTAAAATTATTAGTTAAGTATTTATTACAATATTTACGTAATTATTTATTTTAAAAATATAATAATGATTTATTAAATATCTAATAATATCATTAATTATGTATGAACTTATTTATAATTAATATTTTATTAAATAAATAAGTATTATATTAAGTATATATAATCTTTTATCAATCCCACTGTTTATTAATTATTTTATACTCATTTAATAAATTGCTAATTAGTTTATTAAATAGTTAAATAAACTTTTTCATATCCAAGGTTAAAATAGTCAATTTTCATTTTCCAGAGCTCAACATTCAGATTTCATAATAACATTCTCTACATTGAAATATATACCAACACCAAGAAAAGTCCACCAACTCTAGTGAACCTCTAAAAATTATTACAGTTTTAGAAGCATTTAGATGTTAGACTTTAATGCAAACAAACAAGGCTTGCATGGCAAACCTGCACTGACCTAAACATATTGAGCTAGGATTGGGTACAAGTTGTGATGACCCCATGCCTAAACCCAAATCATCGCCATTGCAGCATTGAAATATTTGTAGATACTAGTGATGATGCATGATCTGGAAGCTCCTACCTGGATCAAACTGCAA